AGGTTTATTCCAGAAGACAGACAAGAACGCTCCCGGGACTGCCCCTTTATCCTCCTGAGCTTGGTCTCACTCCGTCCTCGGCCACACCCCCTTCGGGATCTTCCCAGAGAGTTCTGGGACCTTACATCACCTATCCCTTTGGTCCCCTTCTGGCCCCCGCCCTTATCCTCTGCAGGTCACGTGAGACTGTCACGTATACTATACATACTCTGGTGACCGAGAGAGGCTCTAAGACGTACAGTTACTCTCTTCTCTCAGTAGCTGGCACAACGCCATAGTGACTCAATATACGTCATGTATTAATTAACATCAACTAAGCTATGCATGTAATGCACATATGTGTATGCACATTTACATGGTTCGCTTGTACTCCCTCATTAAAATGGTGATCTTAAAGTCAACTGCATGGATAAGCCTCCACCATTATAGATAGGGCCTTCATATTGATGTGTGCCAACACTTATGAGATCAAAGGACTAAGAGACTCGAGGTGATCAATCCAGATCATAAGTATTTTCAAACCTGGAAAAGTGCTTGCTTAAATGATAGCATGGCATCTGAAAATACTGCACAGTAGTAACACACCTAAATGATAATTTAAGAAGCGAAGCCCTCAAAAGCTGCATACTCACATTCAACCCACAATTTTCCACGAGAAGCACCCAGCATGTCACATCACGTGATACATTAAGCCTTTAAAGGTGAAGGTGTTTAAGGTTACCTTAGGGGTTACGCAATTATTTTAAACAGCTAGACACTAAAGAACACATTATGATAATGTCCATTAGTTAAATTATTAAAGGTAGGTACTTTAATATAATCTATAGTGCGTTTTTTAAAAGAGTAAAACATCAATGTTTCCTATGGGATCAGGCCAGAGTTTTCCATGGTTCACTTGCACACCCTCATGAAAATGGTAGCAGCCATCCATTTGTATATGAAGTAAAATAGAGTGTAGCCATTTTCAATCCACCAACGGATGAAGTCGGTCATGAGGGCTTTTTGACCATACTTCACCACACTGATCAATGCGGTTTGGAGTGTGCAGAATAAGTTCTGATATCACTTTCAGCTGATATTAGTGACAACACAGTGGGCTAGCTGCTATATCACTGCTCCTCTCATTAATATTGTCCACCAATTATGTTTAGGCTCCATACAATGCAGAGGTAAAGGGCTCTGTGCTCAAATATATTATATGACATGGGAGTATGCATATAAATTACAATTAATAATATTTATTTTATTTTATTATTTCCCTTCTACGTGACTTTACCGAAAGAACCAAGAAGATGAATAAATAATACTGTATAGAGTATATGTATAGATAATAAGAGTTCAACCATGACTATGTTTTAAAGATGTTTTTTTCTTTTCAGAATGAAAATGGCAGTACCTGTCACAATATCATAAGAAATAAATATATAAGTAGGTAAAATAATAATTATAATGGTAATTTTCAGAGTAAAGCACGCTTTTGACCACCATTAATCAAAGCTATTAGACATACAGGCGGACACTTGGTAAGACATCTAAGTGGGGCTATGTATAACATAACAAGTCCATATTGAAAGGTCGAAAATGAAATTATTGATTAACCCATCCCGTAGTGATTTGTTGAGAGCATGCCTGACTGCTGCTTTATGAGTGCAATGGCAATGCTGATATGCAATGTGCATTATGAACATGTTACTAGCCCTGTGATTGTATACACCATAACACGATCTTTCTTTAAACTTATTTACTATTTTTAAGTAGTTATGCCTTAATAAACTGATAATTTCAACATACAATGTCCACTAATATATATGTAATGATGGAGTGTTTTCCCTTAGAAAACCCTACTTTTATTGCATTAATTACTTTAGATATGCAGAAGTTAACCTTTAAAGGTTAGTAACGTCATTTTATTCTAATTGTGGTTAAATATGCTCCATAATTCAATTGTATTTACATTTTTGTTCATTAAAATGTTAACAAAAGCATGATACAACACTTGATGATAGAAAATACTGCCGTTACGCCACTTAAACACATTACATTTAAAATGGCGTCGTACGGGTAATGGGTTAAGGGACAGCCCTGCAATTACTTGTTGAAGCCACTGCTGACAGTACATGTCTCTAGAGAGCCTAACTCGAAGGTAACATGGCTTTCTGTTCGATGCTTGCCAGATAACTTGTATGATGTGGGAGTGCCCACTCTTTACCCCATAGCTCGTGGGTGATATAAGAAACGTGCACCATTGAATCAACTCCCACGCGGGAGATTGAACCGCTGTAATTGCCATTCCGCATGCAGCCAAAACCGTACTCATTGGAAGTGCAAATAGTACAGTAAATCACCAAGTGTGGTATTTAAAAAATAAAGAATGTTACGGAATAAAAACAAAATATGGGTTAAAGTTGTGGAACAATTTCTCTGTGGGGAATCTGAAACATTTCACTTGTAACAAAAAAAACTCCTTATCAAACAGCATTCGACCCTGCATGAGTTCCGTCTTGCTATCATTTCCAGTAGCTTTTAACAGTCACCAGCCAGCACTATACCAATTATGTGACTTTCCATTGCTCACCTATGTTGAGTGTGAAATACATTTTCTAAAACCAGCAAAAAAAATTGTAACTTACGTGAAAAAGGTATGAAATTGGTCACTTTAAAGTGAAACTCGAAACATATGCAGTTTAGCGTCTTGTATGCTGTTTATACACTGGACACATTGAATATGTTTTACTTTAAATCAATTAATAAAGCTGGCAGGACAATTCTTAAAATGTTTTTCGAACTTTCATCTCAGAATGGCATTAATAAAGTATAATGCTGTATATTATTAATATGCACACACACATATACCTCAAAGCCTTAAATGTACCTTGGACATAATTAATTGTATTTGTTAAATCAATGTTCAAGGTTGATGCTTGTGCGATTATACAGCCACACATAACTAACACGTAAAAAAGTCAGCTTGATTTACAATTCTTATTATACAATGTTGGTAAACTAATTAATTTACTAATAATAAATAAAAATAACTAAGTCAAACCCACGAAATTATTCATGCTTGTTTAATGAGATTGCAGTCCCTGTTTATTATTTAGCATTTGGATATGCATAGAACATTCTATACATATACATAACCCTACAATCGTGACAGTGGACTGTGTTCAATCTAAACTCACATTGTGTGTCGATGCATGTGTGGATGTTCACACATGTATCTTCTTGGGAGCGTTTGCTGATGTGGGGGTTAGTGTACTGTGCAACAATGTCAATGAACGGACTTTGATTCCGAGTATTGTAATGGTAAAGTCTTTTCGAAATCTGTCCTGTGCCTTCTAAAGTATGATTCATCCTAAAATCAGTACCAAATGCAGCATATGAAAAATGCAGCCAGAATGCTTAGCTACACCGCATAACTAATGTTCACCAACATAGCACATGCTGAGCAGTCTATAAGGCTAAATGAGAGGTCTTTGTGTTTGCGTGTGCTTGTCAGAGGAGAGAGAGAAAGAGACTCACATGCCAAAATTAATCATTGGACAATGCTGTCATACATTTTTAATGAGTCCTGTACTCAAGAACACTTTCATGATGAAAGGCAAACTTTTCCGGACAAAGCAAAAGCAATGTTCCATTCTGTAGAAGCCTCGTCACGCGCATATCAATGTAGAAATACAACTACAAAGACAAACAATTACAACGTAAAAAAAACCTATAAATATTCACCTTAAATAAAAGGTCTAAATCACACCCAGTGGCAGATGGAGGGTGGTGAATGGGGCCCTTTTTAAAAACGCTTGTAATTTCCGGACAATCCCCCCTTGCGAAGTTTCTAGATCTAGATCTACCTCAAATTGCACCATTTGATAATGATTTCCACTTCCATTTATAAGCACTCCAATTAAGAATGTTGACAATTACCAAACAATGTTATTGCCTTGAAAGACACAGGCTTTCACTACAAGCAGCTCCTATTTCAAATGACGACATTCATCCAGTCCAGCCGGTGGAGCAACACATGTGAAGTAAATACATGCAGATAGGCTGCTCATGGAATAAGTGATATATGTTAATCACAAGACAGATACGTCACTGTTTTATGCCGTGATTGACTCAGGTGAAATTGTGTAATCGACGTCACTGATGCCGTTGCCATTTCAACTCAACTTTCTTCTTTCTAACATATCAGCCTTTAGACACACTTGATAAACCCATATTGTATGAACACAGAATATATAACAATCATAATTGCTGATACTACGGTATATAATTACACACACACATACTTATAAAGGGCAGACACCATAATGTACAATGAAGTGTGACCCAAACATACAGTAATTAAACGCAATTAAACGTTGCCCACAATACTACTGCACTTAATTAATACAAAAGCACCATTTTATTCTCCAGTAAGATGAATGTAATTTACCTTAGTTTAAAAGTGTTATACTCTTACTTATCAGCAGGAAGTATGACTTTTAGGTTCACTCTATTGTAATGCATTAAAGGCAATTAGCTTTCTATGTAGAGACCCACTAATTAGAGTACTGCAGTGCTTTCTAAAGGACCTGCTGCACTTTAATTTCATGACCCGACACCGAGTAGGCTGCCAATGGTACGTATGTTTCCATCACAAAGTACCCAAAAACCAATCGGCAGATTTATTTTTCCTGGTTTAACTTGAGTTGCTACACATTTTACTACTAGTGTCACATTATACACCATTTCATTTTCATTTTCACAGGCACGATACTAACATAAGGCATATCTTTTTTATAAACTGTACAGTATTATGCAACATTGATATACGTGTGAAAAATACCAATTCACAAGCTGTTTGCACAGGCTTTTTTTGTTATATACACCTGTTACAGCTACAGTGAATGCAATTGCAGTCGTACATATACATGAAAGTTAACATACGTTTGGTTGTTATATATTGGTAAACATTTTGAAACCAATGCCCTTGAGTTTAAAACAAAAATAAAGCTTACCTGACTGTGCCTCTCTTCTTGACGACCTCTATCGTAGCAAACGTGTGTTTGGCACCTCGATTGATATCTGACATTACATCCCACACCATGGGATTACTGGGATGTATTGAGAGCACAGAGATTCCTTTCTTTGCTTTAAACCTGAGGGCAACAATAAACATGGAATAAAGTGTTATATTTCGTTCATATTTAAAGGCATTTTGTGATATACAGCACACAAACTCTAAACGGAGTTATAATTCACCTCAATATTCTTGAATTTTGATTTTAGCCATGCCATGCGTGTGCCTGCCTTTCACTGATTGCAATTAAACAATACAACACCTATTTAAAAGAAGACAGGAAAATATTTAACCGTAGAGTCGCCTCCATTTGGGTTATTTTTCTTATAAAGGGTAATTTTGTTGTAGCAAGCTTCAAAAGCTAGTGGATTACAAATCTTCACAATACCATTTCGCACTGTAACAATTGAAACACTGCAATATGAATGCCATTTGATAACTCAGAGGTGACGTAAAATGTACTAACACAGACACTTCAAGGCACATATAAAGAAACATCGCTGTTAAAAACAAGCATATGTTTTATTGGATGTGAACTCAACATACATTATGCATATTGTAAAAAGGGCTCATGAATTCCCATGTCTTTAGAGACAGAGTTTATGCCTTTGACGCTTTGCTGTATCCTACAAATATCTCTCAAATCCCACAACCTACCCATACGGTGGAGAAATATACATGTGTGTTATATTCCAGTGAAGAAATGGTTCAATTGAGAAGTAATAACCTAAGATAGTGTGGATTGGTGAAGGAGAAGAGGGTATGACTGGTTCTGTTCGCACTTGCCACTGATGTTATCCGCAGCAAGGAATCAAACTCATGTTGCTGGATTCAAAGACATAGCACGTGAACCATTGCACCACCACTCAACCCCAATCATATGTGCGTGGAATACTAATTGTAGACTGCACAATCTCTCATCAGCATGTCGAACGAGTTTTCGATCGCTCTTCTGATCAACCGCTGGATATGACATTTTCTTCATAAGACAAAACTAAATACTTGCAGGTCTCATCAGCTTCTCATGCAAACGTGACCTCATGTGAGTTACCCTTTGCATTACAATTCTGGGCTTTCTTCTCTGCAAAGCAAACATGGCCATATCTGGGGAATATGAAACAGATGGACAAGCAAGCAAAACCCCCACCATTCAGTGGAAACATGCCGGGTCCACCGGGTTAGAGTCTGTCACCAACACTATATGTTGCACCTGGTACGGAGGAGCAGGCGAATATATGTACGCACAGTACCATAAAAAAAAGTTAAATCACACTTTATGAAATATTTAAGTTTTGTTTAAGCAGTTTCAAACGTATTGGTCTGCTACTGAGGCAAAATGTAAACTTGGCAACATCTGAAATGTGCACAGCACATTCAATACCAGGTGACTGTTCTCACCTAAGAAATGCTCTCTGAGCCTACCACTTATAATTTTGCAGCAATAATAAGGCATATATTGCAGTACGGTTTTATTATTTATTTCAGTACAGTGATTTCCTAAACTGCATAGAGTACACAAAAATACAAATATGTCCTATTTAGCGGTATATGTAAGCGGTATATGTTAACGGCACAAGCACCGTTTGAAAGGCGGCACAGCACGCAAAGAAGGTTGCGTGTTTTCACACAATGCAGCAGTTGCTAATTTGTAACTAAGTAGGCCTAGAATATGCACTGGACAAAAATAAATACCATGTTTTTATTGATGGAAACAATGGGTTCATATTATTTTAGTTTTGCTCGGATTTTGGTATTCACCCACTGTACCAGTGCTTACCACAACACTCACAGATACAAAGACAAATATCCCCCATATAACCGTACAGACGAGTGGGGTAAATGCCGTGGTCACCTATTAAGGCTGAGACACACACAGATACATATTCAACATGCCAGTGGCATTGCTTCCAGCGTTATGCTATTAAAAATGCAACTATTTTTTCTACTGCGGCAGTTGTCAATCCCAATGAAAATTCATGGTATTCTGACATTTGAACACCTACATAGAAATGTATAGAAAACATGTCTATTAATGAATAATATCTTATATTAAACAATTGGCACATATGTGCAATGTTCAAAAGAGACTTAGGTTTTAGTGGCCTCTCACATGGTCATAGAGTTCACATAGAGACATATTGTAGAGCATGCTTGATTATACACTTGCAAATAATTGCAAAAAAATTCCCACTAATATTTGAATGGATTTATTCTTAAACAGGTTTTTACAATGACATAAAAAGTCTTCTTCCTTTAATTTGCAAATGTAGATGCAGAGCAACAACTACAATTTCAAATTCAGGTGGTCAAGTCAGACGACCGCGTCAGGAGCAGCAGAGTGTATCGCTGTTATGTCTTATTCATATTTGTGGATCGAGCATTGTATCGTTATATGTTGTATGGTCTGGTCTGGATGACCACATTCGCACACTGGAGAGTCTTTAATTTTACATTTGTGCATCACATTTCTGCATCTGCCATGGTTTGTGCGGATGCGGTTTAGGGTGGACCATGAGCTTTGTGGAAGATGAAATCCAGGGATATTTTGCATTGGGCCTTTCACCAGCTGTTTTAAGTTATTTTGAACTCCATTCAGCTTTTATAGCTTCATCGGGGTCTTACTTGCATTGTTGAAGTTTAAACGCACGAGTCAGAATTGGCTTGCATGACTTCAAACAATGACGAGGGACATTATTGAGGTTCTGATGAATGAGAAGACGACTTTTCTCCTCGATTTACAGGACTTCCTGGAGGGTTGCTGCATTGCGGCAGATCGGCAGATGGCTGGGGGAAATATTTGTGACAAAACGGGCAGCCAGGTTGTCAGGGTCGACTTGAGGGTTCCAGTGACACACCGCATTGCAGTGCTCAGTTGTACATCAACAAGTCGACTGTGACTACTTCTGGTCCATACTGGTGCACAGTACTTGGCTACAGAGTACACACGGACCATGGTTGCTGTTCATAGCACTGATGCTGATGCTCCGCAGCTTGTACTTGCCAGTTTCAGAACCAGGTCGTGGAAGGTTAGCGTAAAGTCCACATTCACTCCGAGAAAGGTTGGAGTGGGGTCACTATATAATCAGAAAGTCATTGTTAACATCTTAAAGCACAAGATGCATTTCAATGATTTAATAAGACCCTGATGATCACAAGGATGGATTAGCGTAAAAATACATTATTTAAAATTGGTAAATTAATAAACAAAAATACACATGTACTTTCATTTATCTGCCTTTGCGATGAGGAATTACGTAAATCACCAACAGCAGGTTTTAATAATGTTTTATAGGTGTATCCAGTATCTCTAAGAAAGCAAAAGGGAATTATATGAGTCGTACAGGTAATATAGTTGCGAAGAAAATATTAATTCCAGTAATTGGTCCTGTTTTTCAATAGTACTGTGGATTTGTAAATGGCACATGGTCTTGAATGATCGCGTGTTCTGTAAATAATTGAGACGAGGTTTCAACATCTCTCCACGAAGTGTTTTTTTTTTGTTCAGGTTGTATCCCGAAGCTCAAAACACGTGGAAGCGAAATATCATACATCGCACTGAAAAAAAACGCACGGTATGACCCAAAAACACATCGGAGAGCTCCGCAGCACACGACCTGTAACAACCCACACAGCACGTGCCGGTCAACAAGACACCGGGACTGAATCGCATAATGGAGAAAAGGCAGTTTCCACTGATTTCAGGTAAAACAGCCAATTTTGTAGAAAATAGCGGCCAATTGCTTTTCTACCTACGTAGGAATCAGGTCCGTGATTCGATGCTGCGCACACAGACTGTACACACGGTAATAACACGAGCACGTGAGCAGCAGTGCAGTACTCCTTTTGTGACTAAAACAGAATAATACCTTCGCATCCTGTCTTTTTTTTAAGAGCTGACAAAGCAGAATTAAAATATATTTATGATTTAATAGAATTTATTGGAGACACAAAAGATTGAAATGGTGAAAGGCAGCCTCACTGGATTAGGAGGGAAAACGCTCGACGTCCAGTCCTTTTTCACTGACAATACGGCTGTGCTACAACGTGAATGGGCTGTGGTGGAGGATAAAAGGGAAAAAAAATTCTCAACATGGAAGTTATTTGTGATGGTATGAAAATTTTATGGAAGAATGAGGATGGCCCATATGAGAAAACGGCCCGCTATGTAATATTAGTTTTTCGTTACAGCCCATTTTATTAGTTTAGAAATCCCATGTGTTGGCACACACTCATTTTATTGGCTGCCCAACCTTCCGAATAGCCCAACGGCCCCCTTTTTTAAGTAACACGCACTGTAATTGTCAGCGTGTGCATGGCCACATAAGAGCTACTTGGGGGCATATAAATGTAAGTATTGATTGCTGAGTGTTGTAATTTTTGGTAGGAGTTTTATTGGTATTGGAAAGACCTCTGGATTCGTCATTTATGTTGGCGAAGCATTTCCTGTGGGGTGGTGTGAGAATACAAAATCCACACTTGCTACATATGAATATGGGTCAATTTTGGTCTGAAAAATAATAAAAACGATAAGTTCAAAATGAACAAGTGCATGGGCAGCCCAATATGCCCGGCTCTGGGAATCCAGTACGATCTTTCAAATGTCCTCCATTCAAGCCCCTTGCATAGATGATAAAACACGGACCCGATGCTTTTTTTACAGAACTGCAACGCACCAATGTCTATTTACACCCCCAGTCAGCCGAGATGCCTGAAACTCGAGCCAGCTGTCCCCAATTGCCGAATGTCTCTTGCTGTCGATGACCTGCTCTTTTTGTCCAGAAGCTTAGTAAAAAAATTCCACAATATAGTGGTTTCGCCCCCTCTGTAGAATATTTTGTCCATATAATAAATACAACCTCTCCTCTTGCCTTTTTCAAACCACAAGTTAAATGTCGTTTCTCTACTTCAATGTTTTGTTGTACATTTACATGCAGGTGTTTTAAAACCCAAATTATGATTATAAACACAATAATACATGACACCTTTTTAAGGCCTGCTTACATCATAATATTAGGCTGGATGATGTGAGGTCCAAGTACAAGGAGTGTTTTCATTTAGATCGTATAACTGTATTCACAG